ATGAGTCAAACTATGATGTTGAAGAAGATGTCCAAGACATCATTCAAGTCAAGAAATCTGCTTCTAAGAAGAAGCCTACTGCTATCCCTAAGGCTCCTTTGGACAATGTATCCTTTCATGTTACTGAAAATGTAGAAAGGTAGTAATACGTGTATCAAATGAGGGTTGCCTTGGAAAAGGAGTTAGGGAAGAATGCCCTACATTGCAAAGATGTGATGAAGCTGTTGGCTTAATGAAGACTGTCACAAAATTTGGTTATTGCTATGAGAAGCTAGTCAAAGAATTTGTGGTAAACATTCCTGAAGGTTGTGCTGATGTAAATTATGAAGACTACAAGAAGGTGTATGTCAGGGGAAATGTTGTGACATTTTCTTCCACAGTGATCAACAGTTTTCTAGGAAAATCTAAAAATCCTCAACTTGAGCTTGAAGATACTGATAATTAGATGTGTCAGGAGATTACTTGTAATACTGTGAAGCACTGGCCAAGCAAAGGAAAGCTTTCAGTTGGGAAGCTTAGTGTGAAGTATGCAATTCTTCATATAATTGGTCTATTATCTAGGTTCCTACCAACCATACCTCAACCATCTCCACTGGGCTTGAGAAGTTCACATATATTGTTGGTAAAAAGAGGAAGTTTGAGTTTGGTGCTTACATTTTTGACCAAATTCTAAAGCAAGCATCATCAGCTGCCATTAAGATTCCTATTTGTTTTCCTTCTTTCATTTGTGGTATAATCTTGGATCAGTATCCTAGTATCTTGATGTTTGCTAATTATGCAATGAAAAGGGAATCTCCGTTGACTTTGCACCACAAGCTGTTTGTTAGGGATCATGTCCCATATATTGTTTCGACATCAGTTCAAACATCTGCTCCTACAGCCTCAAAGGATGATACTATTGCTCAGATGAAGGAAACTTGCAAGGACCTATATGAAATTATCAAGTCTAGCACATATAGGAAGGCAAAGCTTGAAAATTTGATACAGGCATTGACAACTGAACACGACAACGAAACTAAAGTTGTTGGTGATGCTGAAAAGGATGCAGAAGAGAATGTTGTTGCTGATAATGTTGCTGATGAAGATGTTGAATCATACGATGATGAACTTGATGAAGAAGAAGAGGAAGAGGATTATGAAGCTACTGAAGATGATATCTAATTGTAGCTTTATTCATTTTTTATGTGGTTATGTTTGGTAAGGGATGAATGCCCAGGATAATTTTGGCACTTCATGTGCTTGATTTGTACTTTGAACTTTTGTTTTGCTTGTGTTTATGTTTGGTTGTTTAGTTGGTTAACTACCTTTGTCATATTATGTCTAAAAAGGGGGAGTAATACTAACTTAACAAACTAATCTCTGGCTATTGATTGAGAGGGAAAGCCAATCACTTGCTGCAGAAGAAGGGACTGATTAAGGGGGAGGCTATTAGTTTTTTTTTCCGTTGCTGTTCTGATTCTTACCTATGACGTTTTGTGCAAGGGTTATTTAGTTAGTCTTAGCCAAAATCTTCCAAATGGGGAGATTGACAAGTCCAAGCTTTTGAGATTGGCATTAATTTTGATAAAACTAATTTGACGACAAGATGTTGGACAAAATGTCCTAACATGAAGAACAAGCTGAAGAATAAACTAAAGAACAAGATGTTGGACAAGATGTCATATCATGATGATTCGACATCGTTGTCTGTTTCTTTGCAGTTTTGATACTGCTATTTTATTTTTAGATTTCAAAATATCGTGAGAATATTTGTTTATCCTAGGTGGAGTTCAAGAATGAGGAATCAGAAATTATGTTGAAATTTGAAGATGCCATTTTCTAAGTGTAAAAACATTTTAGGAAACTTTGGATTGAAAAAACTATTCTTAAGGAGAATAAGTTGCAAATTCTGTGTAATAGAATTGCTGCATTTTAAAGCCCAAATCCAATATAGTTTATGGTTGTAAATATGATGGGTTTAACCTAATCAAAAAAAGAAGAAGAAATACATTGTTGCTTAATGTGTTTTAGGGTTTGTGTATTTATAAGTCTCTCTTGTATTGTGTTGATACTAGAGCTAGATTGTTTGCATTGAGTTGTAATTTATGTCACTGTTGTGATTGAAAGGGAGTTGAGAATGGTCTGATACCTAGGAAAATCTTAGGTAGAAATTAAGCACGGGTAGTGATTAAGTGGTAAGTTGTAAACTAAAGGTTGTTTAGCTTAGAGTTAATACTATCTAGTGAATTTCATTCCTGGCTTGGTAGCTCCTAGGCGTAGATGTTGTTGTACACCGAACTGGGCTAAAAATTATTATGTGTTTGTTTACTTTCTGCAAGTTTTATTGTGCTTCTTCTTGTCATTGTGTTTAACAGAGATCAAGTGTCTCGACATCTCTTGGGACATCTGAGATTTGTATACCAGAATTTTGATAACAATCACTTTAGGCATATCACCTTGGTACTTCAGTAGTGTTCAACACACCTATAAAGCCCAAGTAAAATTGTCCTCTTTTTTCACACTCAAGAAATGAAAAACCAACTGAATATGTCTTCTCAGTTGTGATAACACCAATCATCTCCAATAATGGAAGTCTATATTCATTGATCTTGTAGGTTGAATCAAGTATAAGCACTGTAGGAAACATGTTGAACAACTTATAGAATCAGGACGAGTCCAAATGTATATCTAATAATAATTGCATCCTCGCACGTTCAGTACCTAGACACGTAACTGTTGTCATCCAAAAATTTCAAGAGTTGTTGCATCTCATATCTATCCCCCCTAAGCGTCTTGTTAGTTAGGCACCGAATATTATACACTTTCTTGATATTTGATATATTTTTGGGTCATTTATGTTTCAATTTTGCAAGTATATTTTTTGTTTGAACCATATTAAAGGTCATATCAGCAACACATTACTTCTCTTCCGGCATGAGTCGACACCCACTAGGATGACCGACTAATTTCTCACACAAATCATGGTTACGCAAACCACCTATCACATTAAATATCCAGTTTTTGTTTGCCAACATGTAACCACACACCTTAAATAGACACTCACATTTTCTTGAATGATTGTCGTCTCTTTTAAAATTCCGGAGAGGAGTTATATATTTCTCGCTTCTTTCGCACTTCATTGTCACAAAAGCGCATATTCTATCCGAACTATTATCGAACCTTTCGATAACCATACAAAATCCAACTTTAGAGGGCTCCATACAAATGCATTAAAGTATTTGATCACAAGATTCAAACACTTGCTCGTTTTAAAATTGGTTGCCAACATTTACCGCTTTCACAACACCTTGGACATTCGAAGAAACAACTTGTTTTGGGAAAACATCGGGGTGCACCATATTTAATAAAAATAATTAAAATCATAATATTATATAAACGCTACTATTGAAAACAGACTTGAAAAATGAACATAGACAACTTTCAGAGATGCATCTCCAAAAAAATTCACACTTGTTCCGGAGATACATTTCTGGATACAACGCTATTTTTATAAAAAATATGATTAATGTGAGCAAGGCAGTGAGAAACCAAAAGAATTGAGATTTGAAGTGAAAAAATGGATTGAGAATGGAGGATTTTTAGGTGAAGGGTTTGGTTGAAAAACAACAATGACAACAATAGCGGCGTGATTATGCAACTGTTTCTTTTATCAGATTATTCCAAAGATGCGTCTCCGAAAATATCTGACATGCAAATGTGACAAAAAATTTCAAAATCCTGCTCATATTTATGGAGATGTAACTCCGAAATTTCTACTAAAATGGTAAATAATTAATCTATTTCTTAAAATGTTTCAGAGATACATCTCTGAATAAAAATAATCTAACTTATAGGGCGCCACTCAAAATGACCTTTGTTGAATGCGTAAGTGCGTCTAGAGATGCATCTCTAGAAACTGAGGTGATTTTTAAAAATTCATGTGATGCATAGTAAATATATAAGGTGCGTTAAGAAATTCTCTTAATAGAGACCCTACATAAACATAAGTCATAGACAATGGCTTTGTAGGTCTGTTTCTTTTGGGTCGAGCCTGCATATTATATTCATTGAGAGATGACTTACCTTTTGTTCTAGATATGTATTGATCAAAGCCTTCATAAAATTTAATTAAAATTAATACAAATGAAATGAATCATATAGTCACAATTAAACGACTTGTAATAGCATTATTATAAATCAAAATGAATATTTTGTGAAAAATTGCACATGTAAGATTGAAAGAAAAAATGTTTTTCTGCATAATTAAGAGGAATCTTCTTTTGAATGTATATAACCACAAAATGCAATTTCCTAATGTTAGTCTTCAAACAAATTTCATTCATATCATCAATATGATTTAAAATCATCACACTTCTATATTTCACATAAACCTCTTCTTTTAAAATCCCATCTCTTATCAACCTTCTAAGTTAGACTTTTTGAATAAACCACATTCATCATGACACAAACACACGTGCATACACTCTGTTTTAAATTATTTGAAACAAATTTTGATATATCTATTTATAGATTATATACATCAAAATATTAATTTACTTATTTATAAAAATTCCATAGAAGTAATTAGTCTTTGGCTTTTCTTTCCATGTGGTATAGTATTTCTTTTATTTGATAAAAAGTATAATTTTTTTCTATCTCCAAATAATTATTTTTTAAAATTTTAAAATATTATCTTATTTTACTCAATTACTTTATTAATTATAATTAATAAACGTATTTTAGTAAATGATTTAATTTTATTATTAAAATCAACCCATTTAATTTTTTCTTAAAAAAGTTTACTTATACTTAAAACAGGAAGAGGAGTCCAACTGTGGTGTAGCGCACGTGGCTTCTTCTAATTGGTGAAAGCGACTAGTATTTAGGGCACTGCGCATTCTTCAACGCACCACCAAATCCAAGTTTCGTCTCTTACAGCTAGCACCGATTTCGCGCTCTAACAAACAAGGTCTCACCGAGTCTGAGTACGGAATTTCAAAAACCCTTGTTTATCGGGGACGATGAACGAGTCTCCGCGAAGAGATCTACAAGTCTTCGATTTCAATGAAGAGGATGCGATTAACTCCGACAAACTCATCTTCAACAAATTCAACAAAATCCCTATCAACGATTCTCTCGCTCACGGTAAGATGATTTCACAAAATCTCAGTTCTACCTTATAAGCTAGATTCTTAGCTGGAATCATTCGTATTTAGTACGACTTTTGTTAAATTTTGTGATTTTGATCAATTTTTCGTGTGTGAATTATAGATGTAGCCATTGTGTTAGATTTAGGTATTAGTAATTTCGATTTTCAAGAGTAGTGTGAGCAAAATTGAATGATTGAAACTTGGATACTGTTTACTCTTTTTCTCATCATATTCATATTATGTTCATATTCTAAATAACTATTTTCACCATGTTCATATTATGTTATACATGTATGTCAAAATCCATTATGTAACTATATCTCACACACACACACACACGTGACATTACCATATCTGACATGTGTACGATATGTATGATATTAATACGTCTGTTATTACTATTACCATTTTGGGGATACTTTTGGCGGACATGGCATCAATATGGGTTAATGCAGTGCATTGATCACGTAAAAGCGATACTCTCTTGGCAACTCACCATCTTCAGGTGATAGTGAAGTGAAACAAGAAAATGTATTAAAAGGTTGGGAGCCACGCTTTTATTGTTGAAAGTGTGGTCTGGTTTTGTCAGATAATCCTTAGTTTAGTAATTTTGATTTCAAGTTGAAATAGTTGTCGTTAGTGGTGGAGCTTTCAAGTTGAAGTAGTTTTGCTTTTATTGTTAGTTCGCCTAGTTTTCATTTTTGATTCGTTGGCTTGGTGGCTACGTCGCCATTTTTTTTCAAAGCTCACTACTGGGTTCGAATCCTTATAGAACCAAATCTTTTGCTAAAAAATATTCAAAAAAGGAGCGTATAGTAGTTGATTTGTGAGCCTTTTGAAGTCTGAACAGCGTTTTACTGCTGGGACACAAGTGAAATAACATGGAAAAAGTGTAACATATTACTTATAAAAAAAGTGTAACTATATGAATATACATATTAAGAAGAAAGACGATTTTGGGGGTGGCAATGACCTCGCTCTCACAACAAAGATCTGCCACTGTGTCGTTACATGTATCTCATTTCCCTCTGTTCTTTCAAATATTATACAACTTTTTCAATTCTAAGTGGTTTCCTTGACATAAATGTTCTTGTTTTGTTTCCATCCATCTCTAAGCTAGTTTGTTTTATTGAATTGAATGTACATAGCTCACATAATATATTTCCAGATGGCCAGATCAAAGAGGTTGGTGTCAAGAATGTCCCCAGTAATTCTTGTGTTGATGATGTAATTGGGGGTATTTCAGATATGGAAGCAGGTTGTTCAAACCCCTCTTTCAAAACAATGGAAGATAAATTTGATAGCAAAGTGAAGAATTCCGAGTTAGGTGCTGGCAAACAAACAAATTCCATTAGTCAGGAAAATCACTGTCATTTTAAAATAAATGTTGATTACTATGACGAACAAAAGAATAGGGATACAAGTGGTGGTGCATCTACACCTGGGACGAATCAGATTGGTCCTTCAGGATCTCCATCCAGTGTAGTGTAACTTTTATTTGCATGATTACAGCTTAAGGAAACAATTTGATTGCGAGACTTATATTTAAATTTTTCTTTTCTATTTTTTTTTTTTGCAGAAAGAATCTGTTGATGTTAGTTCTGATGCTGATGATTGCATGAACCATGAGAGTGCTCCAACAAGTGCTGCTTCGGATATTGTAGAGAATGGAGTATTTCATCGTAATCCTAGATCCCTGCTACTTGTCAAATCTACCACATATGATTTGAAATATTATTTTTCAGCTTACTCACAACTTAGTTTTCATAATTTCAGTTTCATTGAAGGGTTGTGGATTGAATGGTGCACACACTTCTGACATGGTACTTTTTAATGTTAGAGTAATTTATATTACTTGTATTTTACGCCTTTTTTGTCTACTACTCCATGCTCCCATGCTTATTAGACTCTTTTTTTGAGACTCGTTTAGTACTCCTTTTTTTAAAGTTTCCTTTCAAGCTGTTCATCACATTAAATATTTCTTTGCAAAAATGCCCCCATTTATTTTACACACAGGAAATAATAATCTCTCTCGTGAGGATTGGTTAGAAGAGTACAAAAAGTAAGATAGTATAAGGGAAAATTTGAAAAATTAATTCACATTATTGACAAATTTACTACTATCATTCATATTAACCACTTTCCTTAATATATATGAATTAGGTAAATGTATGAATGTGTTTTATATTAGGGACGTGGAGAGTCGTCCCCCCGGCCATATTTTACGAACTGATCTTAGAATATACGCCAATGTAAAACTCATTGAGGCTTCAGACTTCATATTTTTTATATAAAATGCTTTCTACCATGTTCCATTCACCATTTTTTTTGGGTAGTATATTGCATTGATTCATTTTGTTGTTGTATTAACTATTATTTCCTTTCATGCAATCTTCAGGATGACACAACAGAAGTTGTTCTCTGTCCTGATTATATAGTTTATCAGGATAATTATTATATGGGGCCAATGTTAACTTTTTCACATCGTTGCATCAAGATCAATGTTTCAACTGCAAGTATGAAGCAAGGGGCCTTTGATCTTGAATGGGGACTTGATGATCTAATTGATATTAAGTGTCAGTTGTTTCAAAGTGTGAGTGTTATAGTTTTGTTGCTAGCATTATTTGTTTTGTTTTTGTATGAGTTCTATAATTCTTGATGTATATTTTCTTCAGAGTGAAACGGTCATCATAAAGATTAATGTAATATCAAGGAATGCAAATCAGTTAGATAATGTAAGCGACACTTCAGGTGAGTGTAGCTAATTTAGTTGATCAATGCGGGATGGTTTTCTTCTTCATTACACCTTGGCATGCTTGACACTGTTATTTATATTTCAACTGTACACTTGGGAGTAGTTTCTAGCATTTTGATTTTAGTGTTTGCAGACAGCTTCTCTTTTACTGATTGTAAATGTATTATATGCATATATTTATTCTAGGCATTGAGGAATTGGAGATTGCACTTGTTGATTCCAATTGGTCCCTGATACATAAACAGATCACATCTCTTAATGTAAAATACTTGGCTATTTGGAACGTCATGCTTAAGTAAGTCATAAAATTGTATATGTTTATTACTTTTTTCCTTGGTAAGTGAATCATCAACTGTTCTATAAAATGTTGCAGAGATTTCAGGTATGCAATTGCTGGTTTTTGGTATCCATCAACTATAGTTGTTGGGTAGTTTGCAAAGCACTGGTCTTGATAAGACTCGGTTGATTATAATATTTGTGTTTTGCATATACTCATAAATATAGTACTTGTTTCCATTTCTCGTAGTAAATTTTATTTTTGGGCTAAAACTGATTTGAAGTGGATATGTTTTGTGCTCTAAATGCTGTTTTGTACAATTTATCGACATGATATATTTGCAATTAAACTTTTCTCTTGTAGTATGGATGTAGAAGATAAGGAAACTAAATCGGGTGGATCAAGATGCTACTTTCCCATGTGAGTAAGAATTGTTAATTTCCCTTTTTAGGTGAGTTTACTTAGAAGTATTGATGTCATTGTCTTGTTTTAAAAATGTTGTTTTCTTTAGTGCTTTCTGGTAACCTATTCCTTTTGCTTTTACATTGTATATGCTGTATATTTTGTCTTTCTTCTTTTCATTTTCCTTGGCCCATTCAATGTTTTAATGTGTGCTTCTGAGATATTTGGCTTAGGATGTTGCAGAGATCCTTTGTTGATTTGTTTCTTGGAGTCCTTGGTTCGGTTCGTATATTCTATTTCATGATTGTCATGTCTTTAGATAGAGACTTACATGACTTCTGCTATATTTACGACAAAATCCATAATTTCTCTAATCCTCGGTCCTTATTTATGTTTCTGTTAAATTGCATATAAAAGAGCATGTTATCTTATTGATTTTCATTATAATCTATTCCTTTCTACCTCACACACACTTGTCTTCTTATTATGTGTGGTTTGGGGGTGCTCCAAATACCTTATGGTTGCTAATTCTGAGAATTGATGATCTGAAACAGTTTTGAGGAGCCTTTTGATGACGTTATATATCCTGAAGGGGATCCAGATGCTGTTTCTCTAAGCAAGAGAGACTTTGATCTATTACAACCCGACACATTCATTAATGACACAATAATTGACTTTTACATCCAGTAAGTTCTTGTGTACGTGCACGTGCGCCAACGTTCTTTTTAATTGTAACTTTGTCCACCATGGAGCTTCTTTTATCTTTTTCCTTTTAAAAACTGACGTGTATTTACATAATTTATGTGCATGCATTTTGTAGTCGAAAATATGTATTCATGTAAGTACTTATGGGCAGAAGAACAGGAAGATATGTCATGTGCATGTTGAAAGAATAATAAAACTTAAAAGGATTGACGATTGCAGGATTAGGTTAAAAGTGGAAAATATTAACAAAAGAAAGTTGTGTTGTAGGACTATCTACACTCTGATTCTTGAAGATGGTTTTTAACAGTTCTGAAAATCTCTAACTTTGCAGGTATCTGAAGAATCAGATACAAGAGGAGGAAAAACCTAGATTTCATTTTTTTAATAGTTTTTTCTTTCGAAAGCTGGCTGATTTGGACAAAAATCCATCTAGTGCTTCGGATGGAAAAGCAGCATTTCTACGTGTTCGTAAATGGACAAGAAAAGTAAATTTATTTGAAAAGGATTACATCTTCATTCCTGTAAACTTCAAGTACGATTCTATCACAGTTTGGCTTCTCTTATTGTCTCTATTTGTGTTCAAGTTCTGATTAGCGTTAAATTATGGCAGTCTTCATTGGAGCTTAATAGTCATATGTCATCCTGGTGAAGTGGTTAATTTCAATGGTTAGGTCTCGATTTGTGGTATTTCGTATGGAAAAATCTTTTCAAATATTGATGTTTTGAGACATGCATATTTCAGATAAAGAGTTGGCCAACTCGCTTAGGGTACCCTGCATATTACATATGGATTCTATAAAAGGAAATCATAGTGGTCTGAAAAACCTGCTGCAAAGGTATACCTCTATTTATTTTTACTTATCAGTTTTGCAGTAAAATTTTGTTCCTATTTATTATTGTTTTCTAAGTTTAATGCAAAATTAATTATTGTTTTGCCAATAATACCCATAATTTATTGCAAAGAGAGAATGAAGTGGAATGACATGAATAGTTAAAGGTAATATATGCAATCGTAGTGGTCTGAAAAATTAATTATTGTTGTCAATAATATCCATATTAGATATGGATACTATAAAAGGAAATCATAGTGGTCTGAAAAACCTGCTGCAAAGGTATCCCTCCGTTTCTTTTTACTTATCACTTTTGCAGTAAAATTTTGTTCCTATTTATTATTGTTTTACAAGTTTAATGCAAAATTAGTTATTGTTTTGTCAATAATACCCATAATTTATTGCAAAGAGAGAAAGAGGTGGAATGAGATGATAAATAGTTAAAGGTAATATATGCAAAAACAATTAATTCAATCAAAAGTAACAAAGGGTTATTAGTTTCCTTGGTATGTGTAAATAACCCTAATATGATAACTAAAAAGGAACGGATGGAGTAGTTCATAACAGAATCAGTTTTCTGTTATAAGATTATGTTACTGTATGTAACTTACTGATTTGAATCAATTTGCTTATATACGCTATGCTCATCCCTTTGTGGGGATGAGTAATGACCCAACCCACACATTCTAAGATGGTGTCGGAGTCTATCCTAGATCACTTGTTGGGCTTCTTGCATTGTCCGCACTTGCCTCATTGAGGCTCGAGCGTGAGGGAGTGTGTTGGAATTTCCGCCTTCATTGCAGTCCGCCCCTAGTCGCCTAAAATTGCTGCATTTGGCTTGCCTTCATTGCAGTCCGCTCCTAGTCGCCTAAAATTGCTGCATTTGGCTTGCCTTCATTGCAGCCCGCTAATAGTCACCTAAAATTGCTGCATTTGGCTTGCCTTCATTGCAGCCTTCATCACCTTCATTGTGTTGGGTTTGAGGGGTGGATTTAGCCCCACATTGCTTAGAGATGTGACCTGGGTTGTGTTTATAAGTTGAGACAATCCTCGTCTTAAAATTTGGTTTTGTGGGGATGAGGTAGACCAAACTCACATTCTAAGACTATGCATTAGCATTTTCTATTTCATTAGTATCTTTCTGTCTTTCTTTTGTTACCTTGCTCTAAGTCCCAAATTAATGTCTATATATTATGCATTTTTATTTCTATAGCTACTTCTCAGCATATTCTTTGTATTTTTTTTTGTATTCTCATTTTACAAGTTGAAGTCGAAGTTCTATTTCATTAATCCCTTCTCATCTGATATTGACAGTTACTTGTGGGAAGAATGGAAAGAGAGACATAATTATGCACCGGAAGAAGACCTTTCAGCATTATTTTCAAATTTGCGTTTTCTCCCCCTTGCGGTACTGTCTGCTAATATATTGATGACTCTCAAATAAGATGCAAAAGGATGATTATTCTTTTTTCAGTTCATATTAGTTATATTTGTGTTGAAGGAAAGAAGTTTTAGTTATATTGCACATAAGTAAATTCTACACGGTTCAGGGAACTACTAAAGAAAGCGGCGTCTCCACATTAAAGAAATCTTTTAGATAACAATATTGATGAATATTAAGTATTCACTGTTGAAATGAGTTTGTACTGTCCTTATAAAATATATAGGTATTTGGTTCAATCCATCATATGCTAGGAAATTTTGTGCAAACCAATTTTGTAGGTACACTTGAAAAGGAAAATCGCATCACTTGATAATTTTGATTTTCCCCTTCATTTGCTGTCAAAAAACAGGCAGGAATATACCATGCTTATTGTGGGTTGCTGAGAACGTTGACCACCTTTTTGTCATCTGTTATGCTTGGTTTCACTATTGTTTTATGACCACACACTCTCTTCATGACAGTTGCCACAGCAGGATAACTCATATGATTGTGGCCTCTTTCTGCTGCACTACCTAGAGCTCTTCCTTGCCGAAGCTCCTCTTACTTTCAATCCATTCAAACTAACCAAGTTTTCCAATTTTGTAAGTGGTTTTCTTAACTTAGTTTTGGCTTATGTCAATCATTTTTAGGGAGAGTCATACAAGGTCATTGGAAAAAACATTGCATGATTATCAATATTCAAAGATTATAATGTTTCGCCACTGATTCGACTTAATTAACCACTTGATGTATTATCACCATTTGACTTCAAGTCTTATCCATAATTCTTCTGTTTCAATTTACTATATTTGGTTTATCTTTATCTGAGCTGTTGGTCATTTCAATATTACTATTAGCATAACATCCCCCATATTTCGGAGTTCCTTGCCATGTTGTCTTTATGTTATCTCTTTTAATATTACAAGGGCAGCGGGCAACATAAATGATTCATATGGTTCCTTATTGCTATTTTTTCAACTTGCTTTATCTTTATGAGTTATGATCATGCCTATTGAATATTACATCTCCCAATTTTTGTAGTTCCTTGCCTAGTTGTTTTATATCTACACGATATAGGGTAGCACTAACAAATTTATTATTGATTTGTATGGTTTCTTATATGGATTTGGCCTGACTAGCTTGTATTTTCCAGCTCAATGCGGATTGGTTTCTGCCTGCTGAGGCATATCTCAAGCGAACACTGATCCAGAAGTTGATTTCCGAACTTGTGGAAAGCCATGGTTCACGTGAAATCTCGTCCTCGGACTGTAGTGATGACCCCCAGTACATAGAAAATAATGAAAACAAGATCTGCATTGAGCATTCTGAAGTCAACAGGGAGTCAAAAATTTCCTTGGATGGGCAGGGAATAGAAATGACTCTATTGTCTGGATCATCGGCTCTGGATCCTCAATCTTTTAACAACTCAGGCATGGTTCTTAAGGATCTATTTGAGCCTGGTGCTTCAGCAGCAACACCGGCACAGTGCAATTCTTTTGACCAGCGATCGTCTGATTATCGTTTCAATAATTCAATATTTTCGATGGAGGTATGCACTTTTATCTGTCTGCACATGCGTTTTGTTTTTCGGATATCATTTGAATTTGTCCCTTGGGCCTGTAGAATATTCCTTTTTCAGCATGTTTTATGGGTATGACCAGATCCCTCATTTCACTTGCTGAGATTTGAGTCCTGATGCCAAACAAGGCTCCTATAGTAAATTTTAATGGTGCTTTGCATTTTATCCAATTACATTAGCTTGGGGCTACCTTCTCCTGGGCCATATTTCCACAGTTATTCAGTGATGCGCAAATTTCTACATTCTGAATAGATTAAATGTTTTAGGTCGTATCCCTCTTTTTACTCATTCTGAAGCTAATACCCTCACCTTTTTGTTCTATTTAATAGGAAAGCTCCGATCTTGGGGAACAATTTATGTATTTAGCCACAGATACCAACTTAGCCACAGAAACCAACTTCCAGCAAGTGGCCGAAGTTACACCTCAAGCATGTTCTTTGCCTTACCTTCCTCGGGATTGTGGAAATGGGATTAATCACATACTAGAAATCTCTCTGCAAGAGGATGTGTCATCTCCAAGCAGTTCCGACGATACAGAAGACATAGGGGTCACTGAAAACTGTCCAGACAATGGGAATGTACCCGTAGCATCTAATGAGGCAGAACAAGGTGAAAAAATTTGTTCACCCATAGTAAATGCCGAGCATTTTATAGATATCTGTGCTTCTGCTAGCAACAATTTATCAATACCCTCGGTCATGGGAATTTCTCAAGACTCCATGAATTGTGAGGGTTACAAGAATGGAGAAATTCACTCTCCCTGTCAGGAAGCTCCCACAATAGGGTTGCATCAAGTTTCTGAGGCAGTAGATGAGGAGGCCGCATGTGATGATGGTCAGATGATTGATGGTATGGGACCTAATATTTGTGAGGAACAGGCTGCAAAGAGGAGGCGGGTTATGCCACCACAATGAAGAAGTGAGGGAATTATCCCAAAATCTAATTTGTAGATATGTGTATGAATAGGGCTCTTAAAACTTAGTTTTAAAATTGCTCATTTGTTTACTCTTGTAATATGTGCATATCGTTGGTACTTGTTAGGTTGGGAAAATATCTGCGACTTTAGATACTATTAATAGTAGTAATTTTTTTAATGGAACAAAACCGTTCAAATTTATTCTCCTTTCTCCATTTCTTGCATTCTGAGCTACTTGTTATATGTTTTTTTATAATGGTTGCTTCTGGTTTTGCTTGTGAAAGTGAAACTTTTAAGGGGAAACTGAAGGCTTTTTAGGGGTGGATCCGAAGTGTTACTTATTATATTTAGGGTCCAAATTCTTCCTCCTTTGTTCTTTTTTCTTGGAAGCCCTGCCTCTATTATTCCAAACTCTCAAACAAATACACAGCCTAAGTTGAAAATGCACTCTATAGGTCCCAATAATAAAAGACATCAAACCAAAGTTACCACAGACAAAATCAAAGATATCAATTAAATAATAAAAAATACAGAATCCTGTGAAGATATCAAGGGTAGCACATGTGACAATGTACTGTAGACAAAATTATACTTCACTTCATTTTTTGATAATTTATATATCCTCATGTTTATCATGTTGATAATTTGTGACATTTAGCTTTTACTTACAATTTCATTTATGTGGACAAATTATATTTAGTTTATTATAATACAATGTTGAAGCTATATATATTTTTGATATAAACCTTGACTGTTTACATTATAATTAAACAGACCCTTTTCTAGAAAATAAAAATAAAAATGTTATACTCATTAAAGAATAAATTGGTAAATTTACTGTTTTTAAATGAGGATGTCCTAGACTCTAAAGTATAGTCTCTTACAAAAATAAAATAAGATAACAGATTGATTGTGATTTTAATTTCTCAAAAGTTGGATGAATATTCCATTTTTAATCCTCATGTAGTTTTTTGTTTAATTTTTGGGTTCATGGAGTAGTTGTTTACTAAAGAATGAAAGACACTAGTTATGTTAAGCTAAAATATAAAATGCAAAAGCTTGTAATTGTTGGGTCATTTTCTATCAACTTCAAATCCAAGGATGTTGCCATAAACATATTCCCTCGAGCTCTACAATAGAACACGAATTCTAACTCTTAACTTTAGCCTTTACCACCGTACAGTTTGTACCTATGGTGTGTTGATAATGAATGCGATGCATGGAGGGATAGAAATAGAGAAAAGTAAAAAATAATTGATTACTGCGGAAGACAGGACAAAGGGATCTCCATTTAACATCACGTGCTTTTCCACGCACCACAAATCCCCTACCCCACTCTACGCTTCGGTATCCGCAGTAATGTCTCTCTAGCTTACCCCACCCATCCATCCCTTCCATATCTCTGCTTCTATTCCACCCAAATAAATCCAACAAACGTCGCCATTTTCAAAATCATACACAAAAATATAAAAATAAAATAAAATATTAATTATAAAAAGTACTAGTACTTTTATATTCTGCTGTGTTAGGTTCTCAATAAGAAATGGCAATGCTATGCTCTAAGCTACGGTAAGATACAAATGCACCAACAAGGTGGCAGGTCGAGTTCAGGGAGTGGCCTGGAATAGTACATTGTTGAGTCAGAACACACAGTAGTAGGTTCTCCCTCTTAGTGAATCAGAAACTGACTATAAATAACAAAATCATAACACTGCCATTACTAATGAATTTCAATGTTATTAGAAATACTAATAATTATTGCTGTGTGTTGTTGCTTTGGAACCTGCTGAGTCCCGTGATTTCAGACACACTTCTCGAATTAATTACTCCCCTGCCATTCCAACTACTTCCATTATTCCTCCTATTCACATTCTTTACTCCACTCATTATCATCATCTCTGACGTTAGATACAACATATCACACGGTTGCACATCACTCCACCGTTGATTCTGGTGGAGCCCACTTCTCACCTTCGGTGACACAATTATCCGGTGCTCCAACCTTTTTCTCCGCTCCACGCTACTCTCTTCTTTCGTTAACAACATCCCGTCTTTTCTCGGCCCAGCAAAACAACCAAGCCCAAGCCCAATGCTACTCTCGCTCTTCTTTCTAGAACTATCCAGAGACCATCTAAACGACGCCGCTTTCTTCCTTTCTCGTTCTCGTTCCCATTCCTTCTCCCCTACCGACGAATGCCTCTTTCGATAATTCTCTACAATCTCGTTTCTCCACATTCTTCCTCTTTCAATTTCAATTTCCATCGCATGTTCATTTTCTTCTTCCTTCTGATTCTGATTCTGATTGTCAATCTCGCGCAGTGTTGATGATGACGATGGTGAAGAATCTTCCACTATGAGAAGAACATCTTCAGGATCGACTCTAGAACGGCAAAGAGGACAAGTTGAATGTGCATCCAGCCACGTATCAACACACTCTACATGAAAAGCGTGTTTGCATTTCGGCAATAACCGTAAAACTTGCGAGGATTCGAATTTACAAAGACAAACCGCACAATCTAGACCGTCCTTTTGACCTGTAAGTGATCCAAATCTGAAAATCGGTAGCGATTCAACTATCGAACGGTCTATCCCGGAGTTTTTTCTTCCGCCGTTAAAATACGAACCTCCGCCGTTTTCGATATTAGCTATCTCGCCGGGAGTAGCGATGTAATTAACGTGTTTCACGTAGAGAAGGAGGACGGAGGTGAGAGAAAATAGGACGGTGAAAACGCAAACGAGAATAGCGACGCTTGGTTTAATTCGTTGAGGTTGAGAATTGGTGGCGGCGTCATCGGGAACGGGAGACGGAGGTGGAGTGGTTTCTGTGTTGTTGTGCGTAAAAGCAATAACAAGGGTTAAAAAGTGTTGCGATAGTAATAATAATAGAACGAGAGTTTTGAAGAACGAAGGTGAAGGAGCCATGTGGTGGCGGTGGTTGTTTGTCACCATTTAGAGAGACAGAGAGAGTGGTCGATTGAAATTGAAGTTGGAAGCATGTGAATGGGGTACAGTATAGTACTGTGTATTAATAACTCTTTTTAAATTACGTGAATTCGGATATAGGTGAATTTAAGAACTCGACTATATAATTAAATTTGTTCACAATTTAGCTTTTTTTAATTTGTACAACTTTACCTGTTTATACGTAAAATAGTCAAATGAATTAAATTTAGTAAATAATAATGTATACCGTAAATAATAAATAATATATTTATATTTTTAGTGTTGTAATAATTATTTTGAAAATGACAACAATATTTTCAATCTTGGGGGGAGTGCAGTGCACTGGACTGAAAGGAGGAGGATAATGAGTGAGCGCTCAGAATCGTTGGCTATTTTAGGACAGATTCTATGGTAAGGAAAAACACTCACAAATGAACACCACTTTTTATTTATTATTTTTAAATTCAATAACAAAAATCAATACAGTACACGGCAATATAAAACAGAAAAAATTTGTTCCGGCTGTAAAAAATATTATTAATATTTCTTCCGATTTTTTTATAAAAAATACTTTATTTTTTTAATTTATTAAATAATTAATATGTATAATCTGTATTATAAATCAGATATATTAATTATTTAATAAATTTAAAAAGATAAAATATTTCTTATAAAAAAGATCAGAGAGAATAATAAAAGTGTGATTCTAATTTTTTAATTTATCTTTAATTATATTTTTCCTAATTCTGTATAATTAAGTCTATGTATACTGCTCCAAAATTATTATTATTTATTTTATATTTGTTGTAATAAGATTACGTGATAGCTAAAAAAGTAAATTTGTTAAAACATCAGTGTCCTTTATATTTTTTTTAATATGTTTTTAATTGTTAAATACAAATAGAAAAAATATAAAATATTTTTTTTTCTTTATTTCCATATATAAAATCTTACAACATTCTTTTATGAATACTAAAAACATTTTATAATGTAATTATTTGATATGTTTTGTGTACAAATATTAGTTCTTTTTGGTTTATAGATATGTTTAATTTGTTTTTTTTAGTTATCCACTTCTCTTTTAGAAATAAATTTTTGTAAGAAAATAAGTTTGGTTTGTTTTGTTAAAAATCAACGAATAATAAATTAATATAATATATTATATTAATAAATATTAAATAATTGATTTTTCTTTCATCTTCAATTGTAATGTTTTAGCCTATTTGATTAGAAATGATCATGATTATTTGATGTAACTTGACAGTAAAAGGTTGGTTAATAAATATTATTAACGGTGGTGGTCAAGTTTATTCTCTATTTTAAAATTTAAATTTGGCGCTTGTAATTTTAATTTTTTTATAATGTGTTTTTAGATTTTTTTTAAATAGGTGGCACAAAACTATCACATATTAGAAATAAAAATATTAGTTAGAGAAGACCAAACCAAAATCTCTTAAGGATAAACTCTATAGCAAGAAAGTCTATGGAGTTTCTTACAAAATCTCTAAGAAGATTCCAATGAACTACATTCTAGCATGTAAAATCATGTACACATGTAAATTTAAGTTAATAAGTTTATTTGCGCAATGGTTATCTTCCCTGTAAATATGAGTTACCAAAAAATTAATGGATCTAGTATGATGTAATACATTCTCCCATTTGTTTCGAAGGTTCTAAGGAACCATACAAGGTTTTTATTAAAAGTAAGAACAACCAATTTTTAGTCGAATTCCACCGAAATAATTCTAATTTTTGTCTTTCGCAATCTCAATAGCCACCATAGCAGCCGTAAACTCGGTCATGAAAGCATTTCCTATTCCAATCTTCATTGAAAAAACTATATATACCACAAAGATCCCTATATATACCACTAGAAGCAGCAACACCCCGAACGCCCACCGAAGCGATATTACATAATGAGAGTACATTTTTGAATCCAAAATTTCTTTATTCTTTTATTTGTTTTTTTTTAAATTTAGATTAAACTCCCCTATTTTATTTGTATTGTTCCTTTTTTAATGGTGCATATTCTTCTTTATTCAATTTGTTTAAACAAATATAATCCAAATAAATTAAAATAAAAGTATTTTATTTTCCATTACACAAGATTAAGAATGATTTTTTTTTTAGTTTCAAATCTTCAAATATTAATTTCATATTATAATTTTTTTCAAAATTGATTTAATATTGTTTGGTTCAATAATCATATATTCCGACCAATGATCAATATGTTCTACTATTAATTTTGTTGTGATTACAAACAATACCTTTCAACAAATAAAGATTGAGAAACGGAGTTCTTGGGTGAACAATGGAAATAGTTAGAACAAAGAGAGAAAGAAGAAAGGATAAAGAAGAAAGAGAAGAATGATTAGAGTAAATTGCTATACTATTCACTTTCTCAATATTACAAAGATTACAAGTGAATAACACAATCTGACCACACTCAACAATCTGAGTGATCTAACCTTTTTATAGACTAACTTGCTAACTTGCAACCCAAGCTAACTAAACAATTGGATCCATAACAAAATGCCAAATTTGACAAATATTTTGACAATACATATTAGAACAGACTTCGACTATAATATGTATTCTTCGACCACAACATGCGACCTAACTTCAACTTCATGCTTGTCTCCTGTCGAAATACATGAAAGCTATTCCTTGACAAAGCATGAGTTCGACCCAAAATCTCACAAATCTCCACCTTGGATCTAACTCTACAACAACAGGGAATAAACTAGCTTTCATCATGCAGCTTTATCAGTTGCATACAGTGGAAAAAATTACAACTTGACAATGTCTTGGTGATCATATCAGCAACGTTGTCATTAGTCAAAACCTTCAACACCTGGACTTCACCATATTCGATTATCTCTCTGACGAAGTGTAGCCTCACATCGATATACACGCATTTAAGTTTAGCTGACGCACCCTCTCAGATCTAGCCATTCTAAGGGTGAGAGTGGTGGAGCATGGAAACGTCCACCTCGATCCAAGCTTTAACTTGGGGGAAAGGATGACGGTCTTCTATCTGTGGCCATGAATGATCCTCTGTGATGCGAAGTTCACTTCAAAAAATCATGGTCACCTATTCATGCCTTACCTATGCGAAACATGGCTAAGGCTTAACCACGTCTAATTGCTTCTACACGAATTACTTACTATTACAACTGAACTCATAAACTTCAGGGTCTAAGTTCATGTCTTGTCATCAATGATCTGACATACAAACTCATCAAGTTGTACTCATGTTTCCTGTAACATCCTAAACCCCAAAATATAACTTATAACACATGCGAAAAATATAAAGATATATAAAGGGTGAGGTCATACCCTAATTTTTGACCCTAAGATACCCACACCATTTGCATCTCATACATACACCTTTATGCATCACTAACCCATTTTTAGAAAGTCAAGATTGTTGCTTACTTCATTATGATCACCAATTAGGATTTTTAGACCTACAAAGGATTCAGGCAAATGATCAATCAAGAATTGGCATGATCTTCAACTTATCAAGCACCTCAATCATCCATAGAGATAAAAAGATCCCATTCACCAAGAATCAAGGACAAGATTACATCATTTCAAGTTGGTCAAGCCTCAAGATCATCTGTGTCACCAAATTAGGGTTTTGACCTAATTCAACCCCTAAGATGACTTATGGAGCAAGGCATGATCCAAGTACTCAAGATATGTTTCAAGGACCTAAAATACATCATATTAGTCCATTCACATGATTGAATTTATCCAAAGAACTTGATCCATAAATAATGCAAGAACTCAAATCCACCCGATTCACAAACTAGGGTTTTGATGAAAAGTCAACCATATCTTTGACTTTTGACTAAGGTATGATCCCCAAACTTTGAATATGATTCAAGATACTCAAATATACCCTTGAATTTCATACATAAGTTTAAAATAATCTTGGGGTACTCATTAATCAAAAATCAGGAATTAGGGTTTCCCTGCACTAAGTTCATCTGATACACAAAGTTAAAGTTTGACTTTTTGAGCAAAAATGTTCATCATAAGCCATTATACAAGAAAACATGATCCATTGTTGCATTTGAACAAGAATTGATCAAGAAATCAAAGGTTACTTTCAAAAGAAGCAAAATTGGAAGAATTGAAGTTTTCACTAAGTTATGGAAAAACATGATTTTTACCTAATTTTACAAGGCCATAACTTGTGATCCAAGCAACCATTTTTTTGCACTCCAAATCTCAAATAATAGATCTCATCACATATAACAAGATTGCTAGGCTGAACCATACCCAAAAACATCATGGATTTCAAGTTATGAAGTGATCAAAATAAAAAAAAGAAGAAGAAATTGATTTCCACATTTAGGCAAATTCTGCCTAAGGTAAGATAAGTCAAAACATCAAAATATGGAGGGATTTTTCACCATGATACAAGATGAATCAAGTCCAACTGTGAACACTAAAGTTGAAGTACATCATCGTAACTTTCCAAAGAGCCCAGAAGCATGAGGAAACTCCACTTGAGAAAAGAGCTATGAAGGTTGCAGGACACCTTGCTGCAACTGTTTTGCAAGACAGTTTTGGCCATTTCTAGCTAGCCACGATTTTGGAGTCAAGTGAAATGATCACTATGCCAATCCAATTCAATGAGAATCTAATGAATCGCAACAGACCTGCAAAGTTAGGCCAAAGAGTCAAGAGATTCATCCATTGGATTAATGGATTTTGTCACATTATGCCTTGAATTCAAAGGCATTTATGTGCAATAGTGCACATTCAATAAATCCACTCTCTTCAGTCAAGATTCATGTAAAGTGTTACATAAAGAAATAGGCCTGAAATGAGAAACTATCTGGGGATTATCAACCTTTGGAATCAAACTGATGTCTGTCAAATTAACATCTTTCAGGAAAATATCTTTGGTCCACAACTGATGTATAAAGGCACACAAATTCTCACAAATATGATCCCAATTATTTTGGTAGAAACCCGCAAGAAAGCCATCC